TATTGTCACCTCGAGTTCTCTTATTTTCTTCTGGAATTCCTCCAGCTGACGTTTGTACTCTGCCACAGACATCTGAAAACTGCCACAAAACATGAACCTATTCCATTTTTGCGTCTCGATGAGCATGCGCATACGCAGTAGGAAAAATGCTTGCATTTTCGACATGCCATTCCATCGACTACATCATCTAGAGGAGATATGGAAAAACACCTTTTTCTACAGCAAAATGTTTTTAACAATTTGGGACAATCATATTCCAACGAGGCTCCCATCATTGCTGAGGGTTTAGTTGAAATAATGCGTCAACTACTGATGTTCAGAGATTTATACCTATTCGATTGCTTTTCATCAGTCTGCCAATCGAAGAAAAATATGAAGTCTGAAATAGCAGTGCTCATTGACTTCCTCAAATCTCCTAGTGAAACTCTAACGACATTCACCGATAAAGGAGCTGTACCAGTTTCCCGCAATTTTCAAAATTCTAAGTCATTTTTCCCTAGATTCTACGGAAATTACACGATGCATGGAGGGAAGCCCCATAAGAACTATGGAAAGCGAAGCATATTTTTCCCCAGATGTACGGACTTTTTTCGTGAATTTTAAGCTCAAAAATAGCAAAAATGGTTCCTAATATAATATACACTGTGAACCCAAGAAGATACATTCCAATAGAATGTCTCATTGAATTTGCAGATCCTTGTGGACTATTAGCGGTGTGGCATAAACTCCCTCGAGAATATTGCTCCAACTTTAACCTACACATCAAGCTGCCATGTTTTTTGTTGCATCCTTCCACTCTATCGATTATGCACGTCAAAACGGCAATACGTTATCTTTCATAAGACATCAGTTGAATATTTCACATTACACACCTTCAAATGGCCCACGTCCGTATTACGGAGTAACACCCAAATACTTGAACGTCTGGCAACGATGCGGTGCGCCGCGCACCAAGTATCCAACGTCTGCCGGTGAAGGCGACCCGCGCGCTGGCTGGCCGGCCGGCATGTTATATCCCCAACTTGAACACAAACATTTACTTGTGGATGTGGCGCAATGGTAGCGCTTCGGACTCACAGTCCGTCGGCCGGGGTTCGATTCCCCGTTCGCACAGCTCACAGCTTTTTTTATTTAATTTGGAATATCCAATTTGGCGCAAAAATGACGTCACCATACGAATAATACATATTATAAATACAAACATCAAGAAGTTAAAACTATCGCCACATCTACAGCGCCACCTAGGGAGTGTTACTTGCGGCTTTGAATCAGAAACGGCTTAGTCCTTCTACTAAATCGCATTTCAACACATACATTCCAACCGTTTCGGAGGTAATAAAAGCTCCATTTATTTAAAAACATCAGTGGAGATACAAAGATTATCGAAAATGGCCTTCAATATTTGCATCTCGAATTTCAACGCATCTTCTAAAGTTTTCAAAACATCTGTGTTGTACTCCAGGTAACATGTAATGATCAAGGCGTGTGAGGATGTGAGAATTCGATTCAAAAGCACATCCCTTTTTTTATGTTCTGGTTTTCACGAAAAGGGATATATCCTGTTATGTTCAGAGAACATCGTGAGAACCAAGGGGAATAAGGTAGGAATTGGTGTTCTTCTTAAATTTTTGGAGGTTATATGCCTCGGGGAACACCTCCGTTGGCAATGTGTTCCAGAGCCTCGCTGTTCATTGGACGAACCAGTCTTTGGAAAGAGATGTTCTGCAGGGCTCCAAAGTGACCACGAAAGGGTGCGAAGCCTCAACTCGACGGGTTAATCTCGCGGGGACTGCCAAGGGAGGAACAATTTTTGATATTTCAGAAGATCATCGTCCATGAAAATATCTATAAAATAGAGCCAGATCGCTAACTTTTCTACGGTGTTCCAGAAAAGTGAGCGAGTTTGTGAGCGAGGCATCACCCACCAGACTAATTGCCTTTTTTTGGACAGAATCCAACAGTTTCAGAGTATGTTTGGGAGCTGCACTTCAAATATGGGAACAGTTTTCCAGGACAGGCTGGATCTGTGCCTTATAGATCATAAGTAGCTGACTGGAAGTGAATTAGTTCCTGGTCCGAAACAGAAAACCAAGTTTTTAGGCTACACTTTTAGCAATTGATCTCACGTGACTTTCCCAAGAAAGGTTATTGCTGATAGTAATACCAAGCATCGAAATGGAAATTTTCAAAGGTATGGTTACTCCTGACAAGCTATTGTTGGGCACAGGGAGATCTGCTTTTCTAGAGAAAAAGCATGCTTGTTTGCGTTGAAATCTACCAAGTCATTGGATACCCATTCGAGAATTGTTGCCAAGTCCATATTTATATTGTCAACATTTCTCCGTAATATTTACAGGTGTTTCGTGGACTGAACATTTAAGATAGCCTCAAATGAATGAATCAAGTAGATTAAGATCAGGTGACCGAGGTGGCCATGGAAAAGGACCATGAGAAAATGTGATGTTCAAATGATCTCTTACAGCGTTTTCGAAATGGGGAGGCGCACCATCGTGCATCAGCCACATATCACCTCGAATATTCAAAAAAACCTCTTCCTACAACGGATCTGGATATTCTTGAAAAGTTGAATACTTATCTACATTTCTCACCTCTGTCAAAAATGCCTTCATTAAACGGAAAAAATTCGTGCCATCCTGTATAAAACACATTCACTGAAAAGCCTTTCACCATGAACATGAAATTCAGTTTTTTTTTATTATAACTCTCAAGGTCAGTAACTCCGTAACGGAGCACGGTAGACATTTTTTCTTCATATGGAGTACCAACATTATTTTGACTCACTATATCAGTCATAACATTTACGACATGAACTTCCCGAACACTATGTATAAATCGGCCCGGCTCTCCGATCCATCTTTCATAAAGTGGAAATTTCAGTAGTACCTACATCTAACTGGGCATAGAAGATAAAGAATCAAAAGTAAGATTAAAACTAAGAAAGATGGCCAACATTCAACTGAGAAATTAATTTCTTCCATAATTCACAACAGCGCATGCGCCATATAATAACTAGCCGTGCTGGAAAAAGATTGAACAGTTGATGGGAGGTCATTACGAAGGCCTGGTAGGGACACATAAAATAAAAAAAATAAAAACTCTTCAAAATTCCGAGATATAAGTCGGAATTTTGATGTAAAATTCCGAGTTATAACTCGGAATTTTAAAATTCCGAGTTGTAACTCATAATTTTGGTGAGTTTTTATTTTTTTTATTTTATGTGTCCCTTCCAGGGCTTCGTAGGTTATTGCATGAACACCCATATATTTTTGATTTAAAATTCGTTTAAATCTTGAATTCATTATAATTTAGTTGATGTTGCTTTAATCCACCTTAAGCTCTGGTTCTGTTGGCGGCATGGGTTTGATTTTTCTCCTCCTTCATTTTTCATGTTTTTGTCATTGTCTCAACTACTAGTTACTTCTTATACAGGGTGTCCCATAATTAGCGTGCAATACTTCATCAGCAGATTTAACGATTGAAAATATAAAAAAAAGCTCCTATAAAAATAGGTCGAACAATGTCTCATAAGCGAGCTACAGCCCCTTGAAGGTACCCTGAAGATGGTTCTTATTTTCTATCTTCGAAACTGTTGATAGCAGAATTATGAAATTCTGCAAATCGGCCAATCTTTTTATGCCCAATAATCTGCGATAATAATAATTTTAGAATTTCATCCAGTAATGGGTCAACCTGTGGAGGGTGGGGGGTAAAATCACCCCAACTTTTTTAAGTGCGATTTTCTTGCAACTTCAGCATGAAATTATGAAATTTTGAAGCTTTTTGCATGAAGAAGTTCCTCTTCATCAACTTCGATAGGAAGCACCGTTCTCGAGTCAATTCGGAAACTACCTTACATGTCATAATTCATAAGGAATTTACAAAAATACAAAATTTTGCCGTAGGACTTTGCCGTAGGCTATGAAACACGACCACTATGTTTGGGAAGAACAATCGAGGCAGGTGACAGATACATGAAATAAGTGACAGGAGGTTTGAAAGTTGTGTTCAAAGCTATAGCTTGGCCACCCCGATTTCCCGACCAATTGACTTTTATTTTTGGTGGAATTTGAATTCGCTGGTTTACACCACTGAATAAATGAGGCTGCAAATGAAATAAGAACTAACTATTTCAAATTTGCGTGCTTCTCAACCTATGAGTCCTCGGGCCCGACTATGCGTTCAACAAAATGGAAGCCACTTTGAACAATTACTCGACTGAAAAAAATGTAGCCCAGATTAATTCAATTAGCATTTTTTTCCATGAATTGAATAACAATTACTTGAGTGAAAAAAATGTCACTCAGATAAATTTAATAGGTATTTTTCCATAAATTAAATGACTTAACAATGCTTCTGTCACTTATTTCATGAATTTTCATGTCACCTGACTTGATTGTCTTTTCCCAAACCATTGTCGTTCTACCTAGTTAGGTAGTTTTTCATTTAGATCGACAATGCCCAAACATACTGGTTGTGCGTAGACTTCCTCAAATTTTGAATTTTTCTGATTTCATTTGAATTCTTATGACATGTGGAGTAATTTTCAAATCGATTTTACTCGAGAACGGTGCTTCCTATCGAAGTTGAACAAGTGGAACTTTTTCATGCAAAAGGCTTCAAAGTTTCATAATTTCATGCTGAAGTTGCGAAAAAAACCGCAATAAAAAAGTTGGGGTGATTTAACCCCCCACCCCCTACAGTTTGACCCATTTCTGGATGGAGTTTTCAAATTATTATCATCGCATATTATTAGGCATAAAAATATTGCCAATTTCCAGAATTTCATAGTTCTGCTATCAACAGTTTGGAAGATATAAAATAAAAACCATCTTCAAGGTACCACCTCGGTTATGAGACATTGTTCGAGCTATGTTTATAGGATTTTTTTTTTCATATCTTCAATCGTTTGATCTGCTGGTGAAGTATTGCACGCTAATTATGGGACACCCTGTATATTGACTCGTTGACTTTTTTTTCAGAATTATCGAATCCCTGCGTCAAATCACAAACTTACCGTATGAGGAGATGCATGATGAAGGCTCAGTCGAAATTACAAACGTACTCCTCCCAAATACCTTCAAAGCAGGAAGTCTGCGAGTAAGTATGACGGCTTTCCGCTCATTCTCATCTCATTTGTCTGTCACATTTTCAACGTTTCCATGAGAACAGTACGCCCACTTAGTTCTGTTCATTTGTGTTGCTGAACTTGCTAGAATTGATTTGTTTCCATAGTCCATAGTCGTCTCTATTCATGGCATAATGTAAACAGATATAGTCATAGAAGGAAATCAACTTTGGCAGGTAGAGCAAACATAAACGAACAGGCCTCTTTATTCTGGCTTGCTGCTATGGGCATGAGCTGGTATGCGAACGTGCCTTGAGTATTCATGAAGGAACCCAGGTAACACAGTGACATCGAAAGGACGTCCTAATTTGGTCACAAAACTGACCAATTGACGTCAGAAAATGACGTCTTGAAGACCTCGGAAAGACGTCAAAATGTCACAGCCATACGACGTCATATTAAAACGTTAAAATGACGTCTTAGAAATGACCTATGGAGGAATATATCATTAAAAATGTTTAGGGTATATATAGGCATATTATAGGGAATTAGAGAAACATATTATAGACCACTAACCTTTGATGAGATTCATTGATGAGTGATGAGTTGGTCTCTCCGGGTGTTCGATCTTAGATCCTGCGAGGCATCACCCACGAGACGAATTGCCCTTTTTTGGAGAATTCAACAGTTTCAGGGTATGTTTGGGTGCTGCACTCCAAATATGGGAACAGTATTCCAGGACAGATCGGATCTGTGCCTTATAGATCATAAGCAGCTGACTAGAAGAGAAATAGCTCTTGACCCGAAACAAAAAACCAAGTTTTTGGGATGCACTTTTAGCAACTGATCTCACGTGATTTTCCCAAGAAAGGTTATTGCTGATAGTAATACCAAGCATCGAAATGGATGTCTTCAAAGGTATGGTTACTCCTGACATGCTTATGGTGGGCACAGTGAGATCGGCTTTCCTAGAGAAAAGGCATGCTTGTGTTTTGTTTGCATTGAAATCTACCGAGTTATTGGATCCCCATTCTAGAATTGTTGCCAAGTCCATATTCATGTTGTCAACGTTTCTCCCTCGATCGTTTCTAATTTGCCTAGAAGAGAAGGCGGTATGGAGGGTACTATCATCCGCGAAGCTGTGTACTGGACATGAAGATGTTTCCAACAAATCGTTGATATGGAGTAGAAATAGTGTTGGTGCTATAATTGATCCTTGCGGGGAACACCAGCATTCATGATAAGAGAGTCAGATGAAACTCCGTCGACCACTACATGGAGAGACCTGTTTGAGACAAAACAAGCTAGCAGAGAACATAGTTGGGGAGGCAAGCCATAAGATGGAAGCTTGGCGATCGAGGAGCCCGTGGTGCCAGACTCGATTAAATGCCTTGGAGATATCAAGTGCCACGGCTAAGGTTTCACCATATTTTTCAATAGATTGCTGCCATATATGTGAGACGTAAGCGAGCAGGTCACCAGTTGATCTCTGATGACGAAAGCCATATTGCCTATCGTTGATAATACTTGAATGTTCCAGGTATTTCATGAGCTCGATGTTGATAGCTTTCGCCATGATGTTTGAAATAATAGATAGCAGTGCGATCGGTCTGTATAGTTGCTAGGTAGGGTCTTTTTCCATTTTTTCAGGAACTGGTTGTACCCTAGCAATCTTTAAGTTGGACAGGAATATCCCCAATTTGTAAGGTCGTTGAACAACTTGCAGAGAACAGGTGTCAGTTCGGGAGCTCCGTCCAGTACTACCTGAACGGAATTTTTTTGTGAAAATGAAAGAGGGCAAAGTGTGATAGCCCATCAAATGGAGGGTACAGCCACCTGGTCATCCAGGAGAATGTCGAAAAAATGAGGCCCATGATTATTGACAGTGTCAAGGTACCAAGGTGAACTGCAAGAGGCAGTGGCAAGTGACATAGAATGTATGAAGAATGTAGTTGCGTTTTATTTGTTCCATTCTGGTAGCGGTGGTGGGAACAGAATGACGTTTACAAGTAAAACGTGAAACTTCATAACCTTGCTTGAGAGAATTTACATAAGAGGTTATATTTGTATATGGGAGATCCAAATAATTTCAAAAGCATGATAGTAGAGTTAAGAATCTAGGAAATGAATCAACTAATAGTTGGAGCAGTGATTGTGGTGATTGAAGAAACAGAGTTTATTTTATCTGAGAATGAACATATGAAACCTGTCTTACTTGAAAGAATCATGAACTAGTGGAACTCACGCTGAAAATGTCTTCTAAATGTCTTTTACTCTCAAAAAGGTTCGTTTTTCGTCAATCTAATTTGATTTTTTGACACCTGTCAACAGTCACTCCACATCATTCCTTGTAGTGAGACGGAATGGAAAGTAGCAACCGGAATCGGAAAAGTTGCAAATAAAACGACACATCAAACCGATTCCGGTGGCGGAATCGGATAAATAAAACGCAACTAATCAATTGACAAGTGACGCAAAACAATACTATCGCATGAAACAAATGAGTGTCAGATGACGTCATTGTTGTGTGTGTCTTGTTTCTGAAACTTATTCACTTCACTTTGAGAAAATATGGACCTCTACAATAGATTTCAATACACAAGGTGTATCCAACAGGAATGAGGCATACTGTCTAGTGACTCCCCAAAGAATTCGGCCTCTATAATGATTCTCCCCTAATGCATAAGAATTTTCAAAATCATATTCATGATCGATTGTGTCTAGATTTCATGTTTCAGTATAAGAAAAAAAGTTTTATACATTATTTTTTGTGGTAATTTATCATGAAAATTATCGCTTCAAAAAAAATATAATCTTTCTTGTATAGAATCATCGTATATTTCTCATTTGAATTGACTTATTTTGGTTGAAAAGTCATTAGAAATTTAGAAAATCCTGGAAAACCATTTCGGAGCAAGAGTTTGGACCTTTGGGACTTTTGACACTTTATTCAGGATACTAATATACAGGGTGTTATTTAAGTACGTGGCCAAACTTGAAGGGGTGATTCTTTGAGTGATTCTAAGACGAAAAGTTCACATAAACATAGGTCCGGTAATGCTTCGTTTTCAAGATACAGGGTGTCAAAATTTTCAAAAGAAATCGTTTTTTTCGTAAATATCTTAATAACCCTTCAACCGATTTTATTGAAATTTGGCAGTGTTATTCAAGGTCGTAAAGGGCTAATTGAACCCTAACTATATCAAAATTATCATGTCCAGTGGCGTCCCGGAAGGCAGTGTAACCAATATTTTTGACAGAAAAAATGTGCGCCACTGATTTTTTTGCAATTTTTGTATTTGTTTCACATTGAGCAACTAAAATTACAACTTTTTTATATCTAGAATTGTTTTCGTATCTTGCTTTGTTTTTTAGAAAAAACATAAAAATCACTTCATTGCACATCCCCGTGACGAGCCGAAGCCAAGAGCCGAAGGCAAGTGCTGCAATTCATACATACATATTTTTTGTTTTTTCATTGCATTAATTTTGGTAGGAAATTCCAAGACTAGAATAGAGTATTAATATGAAAAAATATTAGTAAGACCCCAGTTTTTGATGGTTTAGTAGTTGAAATGTTTTATTGTGTTGTCACAGGGATGTGCAATGAAGTGATTTTTATGTTTTTTCTCAAAAACAAAGCAAGATACGAAAAAAATTCTAGATATAAAAAAGTTGTAATTTCAGTTGCTCAATGTGAAACAAATAAAAAAATTGCAAAAAAATCAGTGGCGCACATTTTTTCTGTCAAAAATATTGGTTACAGTGCCTTCCGGGACGCCACTGGACATGATAATGTTGATATAGTCAGGGTTAAATTAGCCCTTTACGACCTTGAATAACACTGCCAAATTTCAATAAAATCGGTTGAAGGGTTATTAAGATATTTACGAAAAAAACTATTTCTTTTAAAAATTTTGACACCCTGTATCTTGAAAACGAAGCATTACCGGACCTATATTTATATGAACTTTTCGTCTTAGAATCACTCAAAGAATCACCCCTTCAAGTTTGGCCACGTACTTAAATAACACCCTGTATACCTGGAACCACGATAATACCCCAGGATAAAATGATCAGCATCCCATAGATAGATGTTTTTTTTTCCATTTCAGATCTCTTCGATCACTGAAAACTTGTTTCAAATCGCATCTTACCCTCGCCTGTGGTAACCAGGTAACTAGAGAATCGTTTTTGGATCTCTTCGAGTCTGGCATGAAGTTATGTGACGAAGTCACACCTTCCCCATCTTTCAACGAAATTGAAGTTCTGGACCTGGATAAGAAGTGAGTGAGGTAATCAAATCTAGAGCAGTGCCTAGAAGATCTGACGGTCAAAGTGAAATTGATTTAAAAGAGCGAGGCCATACCTATACTATGGTCAACAATGGTGAATTCAGAAATCCAGAAATTAAGCTTTCAATATAACACCGAAACGAAAAATCATGTCAACAATCTTTGAAAATCATTTTATTGGTTCTTCAATTGCACAACATTTCTCCTATTCAATTATTGTTTATTCTTTATTGAAAAATTTGTTTCCATTCAGAAATGAAATTCTGGTATGAGGAAGTTGATAACGAACAACAATAATAAAATAATATAAGATGACAACAACAACAACAACAAAAAATCGAAAAAATCTAAAAATGCTAAATCGACCAAGTCATTAAAATAGCCACAGGGACTAAGAATAGAATAGAATAGAATAGAATACTTTATTTTACCACATTACGTACACTGTACATTTGTAGCAGGTCAAGGAGTTAGAACTATAAAAAAATAGAACTGTAAATAAAATGAAGTTAAAAGACAAACAATAAAAAGTTAAAAGACAAACAATATGAAAATATTGATACAGATTAAAAATAGAGAACAATATGAAAAAAATATAAAATACAGGTACATATTGATAGCGACTTCGTCCATATTAATACTCAAGCCAGTAGTTTCTCATGATCAGTCTGAAAATATTCTTCCAGTGAGTAGAAGCAATGTTCCAGGAGATATTGCTTTATTTTATTCTTAAATTTGATGAAACAGAGATTTTTAATTCTATGAGGCAATATATTGTAAATGTTGTAATCCAAGGAGTTTTTCTGAGATACAGTAAGTCTAAACCGAGGATTGCGTATCTTCATCGCATGTCTGGTGTCATGGTCATGAATATCACTATGAGTTCTGAGTATGTTAGATTGTTTGTGAACCTCTTGAAGTGTGTTATAGATAAACAAAGTTGGTAATGGCATGATGCCATATGTGATGAATAAGGTTTTACAGTGTTCTCTATAATATGCATTGGCCATTACTCTTATTGCCTTTTTCTGCTGGCGAAATATGATAGGAGCATGAGAAGAGTTTCCCCATAATAAAACGCCATAATTTATATGACTGTGAAATAAAGAAAAGTAGACAGTTTTTAAAGTTACAGAATTTATGATACTCCTAAGTTGTCTGAGGAGAAATATGGTGCTTGACAGTTTTTTCTGTAAAAGCTCAATATGATGGTGCCAATTTAGTTTCTCATCAAGCGTGATCCCTAGTAAATTCACGCTATTACCTTTATGGCAAGAGGGATGCGTTGACATTACAATTTTTTGAGTTTTATTGGTATTTAACTTCAGTTTATTATATTCAAACCACTCCTCAGCTCTTTTTTCGATAATCTCTGTTTCGGTGATGAGATCTTGATAATTACTTCCAGAACAAATAAGTGTAGTGTCGTCAGCAAACAAGACACATTTGGTGGGTTGCATGAACTCAAATATATCATTTATATAAATAATGAACAGTAGTGGCCCGAGGACCGACCCTTGGGGCACACCATGTACGACTGGAAGGTAATCTGAACAAGCGTTGTTAAAACTAACCTTCTGGAAACGAGTTTCTAAATATGATTTAATAAGTGATAAAACTACTCCTCTCAAACCATAGTAGGATAATTTTTCCAGAAGAATATTATGAGAGACACAATCGAAAGCCTTGGTTAGGTCACACAAGGTGATGGCAGTATGATTTCCCATTTCAAGACCCTCGACTATCTCTCTCACAACTTTCATCAAAATCATGTGTTTTCTCAATTCAATTTCAAATTTTGGAATATGTCTGCAATTTTTAATATCATGTGGTAATTTATTAAAAACAGCTAGAGCAGCGTGAGTCGATTTTTTTCGGACAATTAAAGAGGAAGCAGAATCAAGATGAAATAAGTTTGATTGTCTCGAGTGATGACCATGAATTTCTGAGTTTCTTATCAAAACAAAATTGGATTTCAGATAATTTTTATTATATTATATGAAACTTAGAGATAAATTATATAAGTCATCCAATTAAAATTGTTCTGTTATCGCATACAGATCATTTGTTGGAATATCAAATGAGAGGCGATACAATACTTCCAGTGATTTCTTATAAAGTGCAGATATTTTACTGAAATAATTTTTTGAACGAGATCCCCAAACGATTATTATATAGGTAATACGACTGAGTATATGAGAATAAAGTACTATGTTTATGACTTTTTCGTCAAGTTTAGGACATCTCCGCAAAGCTCCAATGATTGGAGATATTTGTTGTATCAGAACCTCTATATGCATGTCCCATTTCAATTTTTCATCAATCCACATACCAAGATACTTTATTTGTGTAGTTCTTTTCAATACCTTATTTTTAATTTGGAGATTGAGACAATTTTTTTCAAATCTTCGTTAATAATATTCTCAAGAATGATAGGGTTTTTGTTTGCGCATAAAAGTACAGTAGCATCTGCATATACAGTGTGTACATAAAGTAAGGAATAAATTCATTATCTCGAAAAGGAAAAGCTTTTCGGAAAAATCCTTGGACACGTCAACTTTTGTTTCAAGATGCGCATCTTTTGGAGTCCTAGTCGGAATGGTGACGTCATTACTCTTCCGGAAATGTCATCATCGATTTTTTTTTCAAACGGCAACCTATAGTTTTGACAGTGCCATTTGAAAGAGCATATTTTTCTCCACACAGCACATCAAAAGTTTTGTCATGTTACATAAGGAAATTTTCGAGAAAATTAATGATTTATTGATTTTAAGTTAACTTACTTTATTCGGTTAGTTGAACAAACTAATTAATGAAGGGTTCAAAAAGTCCTTCCTAGCATTGTAAAGTTCTCTGTCAGCACGCCACTGGTGAGTTCGTTTTTGCTAAGCCCTAAAAAAATCACCCTTTTTATTATCGTAAAAAGACATGTTACTGTTTGTGATACCTGACGTTTGGTTGATGTATGCCACAGTTTGAAAGTTCATATTTCATTGATTCTCTTCTTTTCGAAACAATTAAGAATAAAATGCGCCTTTCTGTTACTCAGAGAATCGAAATTATGATGATGATTGGCTACGGTGATAGAGTACGAACGCAACAAGAAGTAGTTGGACTGTTTAATACTAAATACCCGGATAGGCCCATAACTCAATCGGCAGTAAGCAAAGTTGAGAAAAAGTTTCGAGACACTGGTAGTGTTGATGATCTCCCTAAAGCTGGGCGTCCTAAAATCAATGAGGAGGTCAAATTGAATGTTTTATTAGCAATGGAGGAAAATCCACACAACAGCCTAAGAAGCCTGAGCCAAAATCTAGATATCCCAGTTACAACTATACACATAAAATTATGAAATTGGAAAAGTGGCATCCTTATAAGATGACTCTGACCCAAGAACTTTCCGAGGACGATCCAGACCGACGGATGCAGTTCTGCCAAACGTTAATGGATTTGTGCAATGCCAACCCTTTGCTAGTAAAAAATATTGCTTTCTCTGATGAAGCTACCTTTACACTAACAGGAACAGTGAATCGGCAGAATTGCAGGTACTGGGCTAAGGAGAATCCAAAATGGATGAGAGAACATCACACACAGTATTCTCAGAAAATAAATGTTTGGGCGGCGATTGTAGAAAACAGAATTATTGGACCCCACTATTTCGAAGAAACCTTAAATGGTGCAAGATACCTTCAATTCCTACAGGATCATGTTATACCCAGTCTGGTGATCTTATTTCCTAACGCAAATAACCCTGCTATACCAAATGAAAACTTATGGTACCAGCAAGATGGTGCACCGCCGCATTACGCAGCTGATGTTAGAAGGTATCTTGACCAAGTCTTTGCCAATAGATGGATAGGTAGGCGTGGTGCTATTGAATGGCCCCCAAGATCTCCGGACCTTACTCCATTAGATTTTTTTCTTTGGGGCCATCTAAAGAATGTCGTGTACAAAACTAGACCAGATAATATCGAGGAATTGAAAACTAGGATTACAAATGAATGTAACAATATTACTCCACGAACTATCACGAAAGTCCAACGAGAATTTATTGACCGTCTTGGATACTGCCAGGCTCAGGAAGGACTTCAGTTTGAACATTTGATCAATTAGTTTGTGCAATCAACTGTGTAAAATAAATTACTATAAAATCATGATAACATTCATTTTCTCGAAAATTTCCTTATGTAACATGACAAAACTTTTGATGTGCTGTGTGGAGAAAAATATGCTCTTTCAAATGGCACTGTCAAAACTATAGGTTGCCATTTGAAAAAAAAATCGATGATGACATTTCCGGAAGAGTAATGACGTCACCATTCCGACTAGGACTCCAAAAGATGCGCATCTTGAAACAAAAGTTGACGTGTCCAAGGATTTTTCCGAAAAGCTTTTCCTTTTCGAGATAATGAATTTATTCCTTACTTTATGTACACACTGTATATATAGTATAATTACCTGACAATCAAATTTTAGAAATATTTTGAATATATAATAAATACAAGAAGGGTCCTAAAACAGATTCCTGTGGAATACCTTTACTTATTGGAAGTTTATTAGACTCTGACATTTCATATTTAGTGATGATTGTCCTATTCGCAAGATAAGATTCTAAAAGATTTTTAACAATGCCTTTGAGTCCCATCGATTCCAAGTATTCTAAGAGATTCTTATGGTCAACTGTATCAAATGCCTTTTTGAGGTCAATCAAATCTATATCTCTTGTAGTTCCCAAGATACCCATATTGTGGTCCTCCTTATCTTGGACACAATAATTACACAATATTTTTCGTATTATGAGTACTTCAACTAGTGAATCTTCAGTTCTATCCAAACACATCCCTTCATATTCTTGTTCCATATTTGCAAAATACGGTGAAATTATCATTTCTGGAATCATGGCAATTAATTACAATATATTTAGATATTGTACATGAACAAAATAAATCATAATTTAATATTTTCTCATTCAAAAATTCTTCAACACGGGTACGCCTGTTCAATAGTTGAAACTGATCTTCTATAATTATCCAGGAATGGGCTTATATCACAAAATATGTTATTTCATAATTCGATAGAACTCACCCAAACTAGCTCACCACCGCAAACCGTTTCTTGCTGTGAGGTCCCCACGTTTTATAAAAAATTAATGAAATCTCCGATTTTTCGGACCTCTGAAAACGAGGCGATGATGTGTCGTCAAAACCTTAATACTGAAACAAGACTATTCCAGACAGAGATGAATGATACATGATTTCTGACAGAGTGACTTAGCGCGAGATGAAAAAATTAATGTATCAGTTGCCTTAGTCTCCGTCGGGCGTTTGGTATTTTCTTTTAACTATGGCGAGATGAGGTTTCTACGTCATAAGAGGGTCCGTTTTCAGAAGGTACTATTATTTATGTCCAAAAATAGAACATTCCAGTTAATTTTTTGATCGAATTATGTCGTCAATCATTATTTATGTATAAAAGGATCATTATAAACATGGTTTGAGTTGAAAGTTCTACTAAGGTGTACACGCCCATTATGACAATATGAGAATGTTAGTGTGACAAGTTTGTACTCATTATCTTGAAAGCATTGAACGTCATCAGATCTTCTAGGCTAGGCACTCTAGATAGCTATGTAGATATGGAAAATAAGCATGTCATAATAGTTTTTTCATTACCTATCATACTTAAAAGAAAAAACACAAATTTCATAATATTTTTTTCATAACCTATTATACTTGCTTACCTATATTTTGTTACATTGTTTTAGAAATGAATGGCATACTAGGAGATCAATTCCTGTTGAAGAATAAGAAAATTGCTTTCAACAACATGGCATATTGTATTGCACAATTCAATATGGAATTCACAAAATACATAGATGTATAGAGGTACTCAATATATAGGAGATATTTATATGAAACATGAAATATAATAAAAGTATTTGCAATTTGTTGTTGTATATCATTTCTCGTTTAATTCTACCTGTTAGGTCGTTGTAATATTCTATAATTTATGTAAATAGGTATGTACACTGCAGCCCAAATAAATCGTAACGACTCGTGTGATGATTTCATCGAAATATCAGCTTATGCCAACGGACTACTTACTATAAAATATCTATCTTTATTACACAGCACGACCGCGACGGTAGGCAGTTTCCTATACCTAAATCCTCTTATTTATCCCTCTTCGTAGTATGGTGTGAAAAAAGGTAGGTCAGTTCATTATAGTTTTAGTTATATTATAGGGAGATGAAAATTGTGTATATCATGAAGAATGGCTGAAAGAATAACTGGACTTCAGGGTACTGATCAGGATTTGATATCCGAAATGAGTTCAATCAAGTGTAGTCATATATGTTTGTGACAGATATAATTTTCATATCACTGATACGAATGATTTTTTCGAAGTTCCAGGCTCATCAAGATCAGAGTTTATACGAGTATACTTCTCATATACATGTCAATTTTCATTTCAATACTGAACATATTGGTAAGTTACATCATATTATTTTATCCGATTTGAGAGATGATGTCAATTCTCAATTTCAGAGGATTTTCATTTTTCATGCTCCCTTTTTGGATGTTCAACAGATATAATTCAATGTTCGACGACGTGGCAAAGAGCCAGAAAAGTACTTGTTTTCTGTTGAATATTTAGAATGATATTATTTGTATATCTTTATATGAAGGAGAATGCAAATTCTACACTTCAGAAGATTTTGTTTTCAAATTCTTATCGTGTGTGTTGGAAAGTAGTTGTTTTCTGTTGAATAAACCGAGAAAGAATTGATATTTTCATCACATAGGGAATGCGAATTCTCAATGTATGTATAAATTTTGTTATGTTCATAATCATATCTGAGAATATTCCTTTTCGATACTTTCACCCAATCAAGGGGTTCAAACATGAACGATGGAAACTTTTTACTCCTATAGACCCCAACCGCAGATTCGTGATTAGGTTTTTCTCAATTCAGAATTTCTTTCCACGTCCTGTATGATGACTATCAATTTATTATACAACTAAAAAAAAAGGACATATAATTTTTGTATTTTGGTGCAGTAACAAATTGTATACATTCAAAAATCAACAACTAGTGTCATGAATTGTCTTGCAATTCGGATAATTTCTCAATTAAGCTTTGGATAACAACATTACTGTTTCTTGTCATGAGATTGCACTTGTTTTGACCTATTGAATTTGAACTTGTCAAAATATACAGGGTATTAAATACACACAAACCAGAGATCACAAACCATGTGTCACCCAGTATAGCTGATACGAAATACTGTTGTGTCATTGTAATGTAGGTACTCTCGGTAATGAAAATTGTTGATAGATATTGTTGAATAATATGGTATTATAATACCTTTATCTACCAAATGATGAAATTTCACGTTCATACGGGCAACCATATTTCAACTATTGAATAAGTAAGATTCATGATATCTTTGTTAATTTGCGCAAATGAAAAATAAGTTCCTACCCACACAAAAAATAGTAAACTATTCAATTTATGGAAACCCAAACTTTTTTTTATCGCTTGGATCGCACGAAAGGGAATTCCTATAATGTTCAAAGAACAACGTGCGTTCCTAGGGAGGATAGGGACAGGAGGTAGGTATTGGAATTTTTTTTGAACATCTGGAGATTTTATGTTGTTGGGAATACTTCCTCAGGCAATGAATTCCAGAGCCTATAGCCGTTCTATATGGATGAAGGAGTATTGATAAAGTGCTGTTCGACGTCTTTCGAGGTTGACAACGAAAGAATGTGCTGACTGGGCTTGTCTAGTTCGTCTGACTGGTATTCCTAGCGAAGGGATGATAGCAGAGATTTCCGAAGAACATTTCCCGTGGAAGTATCGATAGAAAAGTGGAAGGTCGCCATCCTTTCTACGGTGTTCCAAGAAGAAGAGAAGTGTGAAATTCCCAAGATTACCACGTTCTTTACGAATACTCTACTACTGTTTCGGATAATACAGTTGAATATTATGATGAATGTCCATCAAGCATCATTTAGTAGCAGTATGATGATTGAAACAGGAATGGATGCTGACTCTGCAATTATTATGAAAGAAAAACTATTATTCCAGATTTCTTGGGATTATCCCTCCTCGTTTCTATAAAATAAAAATATGAATATTCTTACAATATACGTGTAGTAAGGACAAATCAGATGATTTGCTCCAAAATGTCACTGCGTTTAATAGTTATTTATGTATTAAGGGAATTATGAGGGCCTTAATTACCGATGGCAAAGTTTGCGTCCCGAGGGCCTCTGGCCCGAGGGACAGCAATTGCCAGAGGTTATTAAGGCTCTATAATTCCCGTGATACATAGATAATTTTATTTCTGACTGATTTCATTCATTAGATACCTTCCCGATTGGAAGTTAGACATGTTTTTCCGTATAGTTTCAATGTCATCAGAACGTCAGATGATGATCTTGACTACCGCGAATAGGAGATTCCTTATTGCTACGTTATTGCGTGGTTGTTGCTATGCATTTCTTATTTAATTTTAGCTAGAGGGAATTATAGCATCTATAACATCCCAAGGGAGTTATGACCCTCATTATAGATATCGTAACTATGACGATATAAGCTTATAATGTCACTGTCAGAAATAAAGAATTTTTCCATCAAAGAGCCTGAAACAAAACTTCACTAGCTTGTCAGTGACAATTTGTATTGAAAAGAGTTTGGAGAAGAGAAATTAAGGTATATAGAAAAAATATCAAATGTTTACTTAGCGAATGACGAGACTCCTGCTACTACTGCATTCGAAACTGTATAGGTACAGATGGTGTGAATATAGAAAGTATTATATCTGAAATCCACGAGGAGCCCATACCTGACTTGAATGCGAGAACTCCTAGAGATGGAACTGAGTCAGATGATTCATTACTGGATGTATTAATTAAAGATTCATTTCCTTGTGATAAAGACAATTTCAGTGGCTGAGAATTGAGCAAAGAAAATGAAGCGTATTGTGAAGCTTGTTGGTTATTCAATATAACTAATAGTTCATGGAAAGAAGGGACTTCTGACTGGAAAGGTTTGTCTCGAGGGGGCCCACAATGATATGAAGTTACGCCACTGTGTTTTAGCGATAATACAAGCTGTCTCTGCCTTGTAATTGGTTAGATTATGTGAGAATTTTGAGATCAGTGAAATAGTCAAATTGAGAGCATAATAAAAGTCTCCTGATATGAGAAGGTAAATACGTCAAAAGTAGGAACCCAATTCATATTATCCATACATTGTCATTATTCGTGAAATTCAATGGACGTGGGATGGATAAACTGTTGTTGTTGATGATGATGATGTAGAATGAATTAATCTGAATACGAAAATGAATTGTTGAAATCAGAATTGAATGTGGGTGTAACGATTATTTACCTACAACAATAATTCATTCAGTTCGACTCGAACGATTAACTCATAAGGGTACAGGGAGTGACCAAATGGTTTCACAGGGTGTTTCAGCCTTGATCTGCCAAACATCAATTGGTCATAGGTACCCATCAAAATAAGAAGAAAGTTTTCTGAACATGGCACAGAAAACGCATCATATTCGCTATACAGGGTGTTCAAATGAAGAGAATTTGATAGATATTTTCATGCCGAATCAAATACAGGCCGATTCACGGTGGATGACACATTAGACGTTTCTGGGAGACGGGTTCTTTCTGAATATTTGATGGAGAGCATAATATTCGGACATATTCTCTACCCTACTGAAATATTTTCGACAATGCGGTGTTGCCACTTCCATTTAAAAGTAGTAGCAACTTTGATTTTTCAAATGAATCACTCAATATACCGGGTGACACAGGGTATTGGGGGGCCACCCCTGTAACTTCTGCATTCGTTATGGTACAGTTATGTAAGCAACCATTTCGGATTTGATGACATTACGATCCAAAATGGCGGAATAGTTTTGAGATGGGATATGAGAAAAACAGAAGAACTATTTTTGGACGGAATGAGATCGCTTCAAATTCGATGCAAGTTCGTAGTGTGCCATCCATCGCCCTGTGAAATATTTTTTTCGAATTCAAGATTTTGATCTAAATCTTAAAATCGAATTGCAATTGGTTGATTTCTTGGAAGTTAAAATCTTACGCAGGGCCTATTTTACCGGAAATGTATCGTTATAACTGATGGTAGTTTTCGTTGTGGTGGATTTTGTTATATTGAAGACTGTCACCTTTGTCACGATAATACACTACACACTGTTTTACCACTAACCAAACCGATTTTTTACACTTCGACTCGTGTTTCGCTAAATATGTTAGCTAGCATCTTCAGGAGAATGCTCTCTCCTAGTGGGCTACTTATATATACTAGCATATACTAGGTATATGTCCACCCAACCGTGAATAGACAAGTTAATGTTATTCATGGTTGCGTTCATGTGTTGGATTACTAAACTATACAGAGGGTTAAATAGGATAGGTTCATTATCCTCATTCCTTACTCTCTTACTATTCTTAAATATCTCTAAGCTTTCATATGCATCTATTTTTCTAACATTATCACCTTGATTAACTAATTTGAGGTTATTAATACGTGTGTTATGATTGTGACTGAACATGTGTTCGACTACACCCGATTTATCGAACCTACCATATTTCAAATGTGTTAAGTGTTCTTTGAATCTTGTTTTTATGGGACGCCTGGTTTAGCCTATACATGTTTTATCACAATTGTTGAAACTAATTTCGTATATTCCTGACTTTTCACGTGTGTTCGCTTTATCTTTTGGATTACCTAATAAATTGCTTAACTTTGACCCAGACTGATAAACGCTTTCAAAACCTGAGTCTTTGGAAACCTTATCAAGTCCTCTTGTGTACTTCGGATTATGGGATTGAAAGGGATCGAGATTTTTCTCGAATTGTTTTTATCCGCTTGAAAAGTCGTGGAATTCCTGAGTGATAACTTGAATTTA